AGTAAAGGGTCTAAGAGGGAACCTGAAGGACAGCTGCCATTGCCAGACAAGGAAAGAACTGGAAGAAGGGCATGGGGGAGGGGACAGCTAGAGGCGTGGGCACGGTCCCCCCCACCTGGAGCGTCCAGGATACCACACACAGGTTAAGAAGATAACCTCTTGAGCCGGGCTCCTGGGTTCATACCTTAATTCCTCCCCTTACAAGCATCTCTTAGTCTCAGTTTCCACATCTGTCAAATGGGGTTAATAATAATCCCCACTGAATAGGGTTGCGCAAGAGTCATGCGAGGGAGCGACTGGATGGAGAACACTTGTAAAGAGGCTGGCACAGTGTGACTTCAGTGACACTTCAGGGAATGTCGGCACCTGCCATTACTAAGATGTTTCAAGGAAGCAGGGAGGTGAGGCTGGGAGAGCAGGGCAGGGCCCAGGCTTCGCCCAGGGATGAGTCAGGGAGAGCGGAGGCTGTCTGGAAAAGGCCAGAAGCTTTGCCTGGACGTGCTGGCCATCAACAGGAGAGCCGGTGTCCTGGAAACTGGCCTGGGGCTCGGCTGCAGAGGGGAAACCCGGCCGAATGTGATTAATTATAAACAGACTAACACATGCAAACAAGGATCTCAGCTGGCTGAGCAAATATTTATGCAGGGATTTTGGAAACAAGTATCCATGTGACCTTTCTACGCGCGTTTCTAGAAGCGACTGCGGATTCTCAAAGGTCAAGTTGTAGTGGCATGTAGATGCTTGAAAATCAATCCACACTCAATGCCACCAACAACCGAAGTGAGAAACAGCGTTGCTCGCCTTCCGTGATTACTGCTCTCCAGTCTGTGGACAAAATAAAATAGACCAGCGCCTGGCCAGCAGGCGGCCCCCACCGGTCTCCTCGCTGGCTGGCCCCTGCAGCCTTCAAGCTGCACACCCACGACCACAGGGACCTCCTCTGATCTGACCACCATGTGCACCTGCCCAACCCCCAACCCATGCTTCCCGGCGTCAGCTAGGCTGGCGGAAGCCCCTGGGGTCATGCACGGGACGGGATCTCCTGGGAGAAGGGCTGGAGCGGGTCCCAGAGAACCGAGCAGCCATTCTGGTATCAATCCCTGGGTGACCTGGGCAAGCCTTGGCATCACTTTCTCATAGATGATGAGGGACCCCACGGAGGCATACTGATGCAGGTCTTGCTGGTCCAGCCCAATCTCCTTCAGCGTCCTCAGGTGCGTTCTTTGCCTCTGGCTCGGGCAGGGGGTTGCGGTTAATGGGAGGGTGGTCACCAGTTGGGTCCCTACCTCCCAACTTTGTCCGGAGACCAGACAAGGTTGACTCTGGTTGAAGCGGTGCTGGAAACTTTTTGCGGAGGGAAAGGCACCGCTGCCCTCTCGTGGCCACTGGGCGGAATGAACGGCGGCCGCGGGAGAGATGCGGAGAAATTCAAGTGGAATGTGCGGGGTTCCTGCTGTGCGCGGGTCCCCGGGGCGCTCAGTGCGAGGCACAGCGATGGGTCGGACATGCCCCGCCCCAGGAATCTCGTGCTTGAGGGGGACGCATGTGCGGGCTCTCTGGTTACCACACATGAGTACTTTTAACTATGTGACCTTGGGCACATTTCTTAACATTTCTGTGTCTCCATTTCTGCATCATTAAAATTGGGCTAAAAGTAAAATGTCCTCCTAAGTGCAGCCCACAGTCATGACTATCTGTACCCCAAACATAGTTCCTTCTCGCCATGCCCACCACTGCCACTAACATACCTCTCTGGTCTCCCTGCTCCCTCCTTTGCCTCCAGCCCGCCCCCCCCCCCCCCCACACACCCCTTTCACCTGTAGCAGCCACAGGAGGCCCCCTGGAAAGGTAATCTGATCCTACAAGTCGTCCACTCACTGTCCTCCAGTGATTTTTGGTGCTGCTCGGAGTAAAAGCCAAAGTCCCAGCCATGGCCCCCAAGATCCTACAAGATCTGGACCACCCCCTCTTGGACCTCCTCGCTCACTTCTCTCCCACCACCCACTCTGCTCTGACCACTTCCTGTCCGGGAACACACCATGATGTCGTGCATTTTAGAAATTCACTTCATCGAACGTCTGCATCCCCTTCTAGAGGGTCAGCCCCACAGAGACAGGGACTTCTGTCTGCTTTGCTCACTGCTGTGTCCCCAGCATCTATTATAACATGAACTTGTTGCAGGAATTCTAAAATATTTCGTGAATAAATAAACAAATGAGTGAACAGGGTTTTGCTTCGTATAAAATTGGCTAGTACTGGGCAGGGCAAATGTGAGCTCCTAGTTCTGTTGCTCTGAGCTAACGTAGAAAGGGAAATGACTCTGAGAGAGGGTTGTCCTGACCATTGCCGGGCACAGAGGTGCCTATCTTAGTGTTCCAACATCAGGAGGGCTCCTGAGAGGAGGTGACAGACATAGGAAGTAGGTTTTGAAGTAAGCAGGAGGCAGGTGAGGCAGGTATGAAGGTGCAGGGAGCAGCAGGTACAGATGCGAGAGAAGGCAAACGTCAGGTGTGCAGGGAATAGCCGGTAGACCCCGGTGCTGGGACAGAGAGGGTGGATTCCAGGGAACCCAAGAGAGAGAAGAAGGGAGGTGGTCAGGCCACTTGGTGAAGGGCTTTGAACACTGAATTAAAGAGAGCAGGTCTCATCCTACAGGACTTGGGTGGAGGTACGGGAGAGTTCAAAACGGGGAGGTATGATTCTGACACCAACATATCGCCCCCCCCCCACTCACATATCACCAAGCGATTCTCCACACCAGCCGGGTGTCCTGCAATTCAGCTCAATTCTGACATCATCTACCTGGACACGGCGTCAGACACCACGGGGTCGGGGCTCGGTCCCACGAGCCTGTCCCCACTTCAGATGCCAGTTGCAAGTCCAGGTTGTCACCTGCGCTTCTGACCAACTGGCTATAAATCAGTGGTTCCTACGATCTCCTCCTTGGGTTCAGTTAACTGGTTAGAGCGGTTCACAGGACACAGGGGCCCAATCTACTTAGGAGATTACTGGTTTATCACAAAAGGATAAAACTCAGAACCGCCAGATGAAAGAGACACATGGGGAAAGGCATGCGGAGGGCAGGGAGGTCCCTGCCTTCTTTGCAATGTCACTCTCCCAGAATCTCCCATGTTCACCAACATGGAAGCTCTCCCAACCCCACCCTTTGGGGTTTCTGTGGAAGCTTCATTACATAGGAATGGCTGATTAGATTATTGGCCATTGGTGACTGAACTCAATCTCCAACTCTCTCCCCTCCCTGGAGGTTGTAGGGGATGGGACGGAAAATTTCCAACCCTCCATTCCAGGGCTGGCGCCACCAGCAGCCAGCCCCCATCCTTGGGAGCTTTCCAAACATCACCTCATTAAAATAACAAAAGGTACTTTTGCTGCTCTCATCACATAAGAAATTAAGTTTTAGGAGTTCTGCACCAGAAACGGGGATGTCGAACGAGTATATATTTCTTATTATAAATCACATTACAGGAGATGTCTGACCACACTTGTGTTCTAGAAAGGTCACTCTGGCTGCTGTGTTGTGGGGGGGGGGGGGGGGACAGACCTGGAGGCAAGAAGACCCCCCCCACCAGGAGGCTGCTCCTATGAGGCAGCAGGGGGCACTGGAGAGTTGGTGACAGGTAGAGGTATATGAAGGCAACTGATTGGGTCATTAGGGGCAGTGAAGGGATGGGGATGATTCCTGGATCTTATAAGGCAAGATGACCAGGGTGGGTAGCATAGAAGCTCCTTCCCATGTCCCCAGATGACTTTTTTCTGTAACATTTCCCCATAGCTTTTTGGATTGTTAGTCACTAATTAAGATTCAAGCCCATGAAAACCTGTTACATTCTTACTTAGAAAATAATCCAGAGGGCCTCACCCATATCAGTGTAAATGCATTGAATGGTACTGCCTTGAAAGCTAGCACCATCATGGGCCACATCAACAGGGGTAGAATGGCCAGAATGAGGGAGGTGATATCCACTGGGTACAGCTAGGGCACGTGTCCCAGCATGTGCCCCAACCCAGAGGAAGGGCCTTCCAATACACATGTTTTTCAGCTGCTAGGAGAGTCAGATGTAGGATATGGGGGTGTTCAACCCCAAAATGGGAAGAATCAGAACAGAATAGACAAGAGCTCTCTGTGGCTATGTACTTTTGGGGTTGGCGTGATTATTAGCTTTGTTCTGATTTCTGCCAAAACATAAAATTAAGAGGCAGAAATAGAAGTTGCAGGGAACAGTGTTTGACTTGTTCTGAAGGACAGTCCCCCAGTCAGAGCTGTCCAGCGGGGAAATTGACTGGTCTGGGCATGGGGTGAGCTCCCTGTCCCTGGAGTAATCAAGAAGAGACAAGACATCAACTCTCAGGAAGAAAGTAGAGGGCATTTCTGCATTTGAAGTTGGGCAAGGCACTCCCCAGGCATTCTTCCCAGACTGCAGATTCACAAATCTGTGACTCACATGACCCAAGAAAAGCAGACGTGAGTGGACCTGGGGAGGCCCAGGTGTGCCATCCCCAGGGCCTTGATCCATGCTGTGCATCAGGAAATGTCCTAAACTGGGTGCCTGGGTGGCTCAGTTGGTTGGGCAATTGCCTTTGGCTCAGGTCATGATCCTGGAGTCCCGGGATCGAGTCCCGCATCGGGCTCCCTGCTCAGCGGGAAGTCTGCTTCTCCCTCTGACCCTCCCCCCTCTCATGTGCTCTCTCTCTCTCAAATAAATAAATAAAATCTTAAAAAAAAAAAAAAAAAAAAGGAAATGTCCTAAACTGTTAGAGCTGCAGGGCTGGGGGAGCCCGTGTCCGCTTGCCCATTTTACAGACTGACCGGCTATGGGAAACAGCGGGTCAGAGAGCCGTGCAGGCTTGCACAGGCTTATACAGCTTCTTCACGCCCACCCGCCGGACCCCAGACCCCAGACTCCAGATGCCCAGGGCGCACGCCACTTCATCAGGTCCCACTTCTGATTTTTTTCACAGGTCAGCTTATTTCCTCTTACCTGCAACAAAGAGGTGGATATGGAGGTGCTGAAGCTGAAGTTTGTCCTCACTGTGTCAGAAGTGAGCAGGGGATGGAGCTGAGATGCCTTAAAATCAGCCTGTGACGCCGGCATTCTGTCTTCGTCACTGGGCTTCCCCACGTGGTCCCCAGCATGTGACCCCCAGCGTCAGTTCTGTCACCCCCGACAAGGTCAGGCCGCACACGCACGTCATGGAGGGTAGGGGCGCGCTCTGGCTGCCTGAGCCTGGTGACTCATGGCCGTGACAGCCAGCACTCCAGGGTCCCCAGGGCCCTGCTTGGCATCATGGGGAGTCAGGCCGGTGGTGGGGACCAGCCATGGGGGCCAGTGTCCACGACCCATTCAAGTCTTCTGTGCGGGGCAGGTCAGCCTGGGCACGTGCACATAGGGGACCAGTTAATCCTCGGGAAGGGGGCTGACCTGTACACTGTGGGATGTTTAGCAGCCTCCACGGCCCACTCCATGCTGGGAGCATCACCAGAGGGCCACCCAGTCATGACAAAAGTGTCTCCAGACCTTGCCACGTGTCCCTGGGGGGCAAAATCATCCTCTGGTTGAGAACCACTATGCTAGGTCCAGCAGCATTTTCCTTCCTTGTCTTTTTTTAAAGATTTTTTATTTATTTGACAGAGAGAGACACAGCGAGAGAGGGAACACAAGCAGGGGGAGTGGGAGAGGGAGAAGCAGGCTTCCCGCTGAGCAGGGAGCCCGATGCGGGGCTTAATCCCAGGACCCTGGGATCATGACCTGAGCCGAAGTTAGATGCTTAGCAACTGAGCCACCCAGGCGCCCCTCCTTCCTTGTCTTGTTCCCAAAATATTTTTAGGAGCGGAGAAAAAATATTGTTAATTTTAATGTTGGAAAGTATATGTTACTGGGTGGGCCCAGGCCCTGGCTTGACTTTGCAGAGGCCATCACACGTCAACAACTCTGGGCCAGCACCTAGAGGCGTTGAGTATCCCTGATCGACCCCAACCCCCTCCTTTCACGGAGGAAGAAAGTGTGGCCCAGAGAGGTTAAGCAACGAGGCTGAAATCACACAGCAGTCTTCATCACCTCTTTCCTTACCCAGTGCTCTTCCTGCTGCCCCACATCGAAGCTGAATCCAGCCAACACCAGTCAGGAGTCTAAAACTTTGGGGAATGCAAGAAAGTCCTCTCTTGACAGGAACGAAAGACACAGGCAGAGCCTTATTTTTCATGTTATAATGCTGTGAAAACGTGCAAAGCGAAATGTTGTAAAAACATTTGGCTGGGGCCGGGGTGGTGGAATGAGCAAATACCATTCACCATGTGAGCCGGCTAATAAAAGGAAGAGCCCAAAATTGTTTGTTGCTATTATAAGGGTCATTTTTTCCCCCTATAAAAGGAGTAATTTTCGTTTACAGGGACCCCGGGCAATTTTCCATCTAATTTGATGTTTTATAATGTCTGCAAAGCCATGCAGTCTTAGCTGGCTGTACAGCAGTAGACATTTTATTTTCAAATTTGCGAGGTTATTGGTTCATCAAGAGCAAAGGAAAAATGCGGCTGGATTTTCATGGGTCCTGGTAAGAAAGGGGGCAGCCGATGGTCTGGGGGGCCGGAAAGAGCTTGCTGCAAAGCCCCCAAGCCCACGTGTTTCCCTCCCACGGCAGAGTCCAGAATATCAGGCAAGAAAGGTGGGGGCAGGGTCATTGTTCCCGGTGAGGCTCCCCCCGGGGACGGCCCTGTGCAAGGCACAGTCACATGGCCTCCAGGTCCAGAGCACCCCGATCTCTCCACGCTGCTGACCTGTCCTGCTAAGCACCTCACGCACGTTTTCTCCTGTAACCCTCACAACTGCTGGTGGGGCGGGGACCCTTGTCATCCCTGGTTCTGGAGGAGAAAAGCAGGCTTGGAGAAGTTACTCCCTGAGCAGGAGGTGCGGGGTCCCCACCTGAACATGGGCATCAGACCCTGACATTGAGGTCCAACCTCCCTGACCCTGGCCCCCTCTTGTGGCTCCTGCTGGCCTTTGGCTTCACGAGACTAGACCCCTCCCCCAAGGCAAACACCACGGCAGTCCGTGCCACCCCCAGCCACGCTCCGGGTGCAAAGGGCACAGCCCTGACCCTCAGTGCTGCCATATCACTGGAGACAGACCCCCAAAATGAACCCCAGTGGACAGCTCATCAGGTAGGGCCTCAGTCTCCTCTTCTGCAAAAAGGGTGCAACCCTATCTATTTCACGGGAAAGTTCCGAGGCTTCAGTGCAGTTAAATTGGTGGAAAGCAGCTCTGGAAAGATGGTGAAGCCTCGACAACAGGGGGTTGCTCCCTTCCTGCCCAGAAAGTGAAACCCAGGAGGGGTTATGGGGGTAAGGAAGAGGTGACAGGATAGGAAGAGGCAGACAGAAGGAAATGAGTAGACAAAGGGGAGAGGCAGGAGGACTGTCTGCAGAAAAGCCCTGATTACCTTAACTCCGACCTGGTTTTTACTGAGCACATACTATGTGCCGAGCTGTGGGCTGGGTGCTTCATGTGCGGTTCTCAGACTGGGACCGTGGAGACCATTCTTTCTATTTTGCAGAGGCCATGCAGAGGCCATGACCCGGACGGCTCCCCGCCCCAAGGGTGCCATGTCAGGGCTCTCTCCTTAACAGGAGGAGTCGGAGAACGATCCGATCTCCAGCTCCCAGGACGGTCCCATTTATTCCCAACATCTCGCTTCTTCTGGGACCATCTCTGTGCTCAAGAACATACCCTTGGTAGCAACCAGGGAGAGACTGCATCAAACAAAAATGGCCCTCCCTGTCCCACCGGGGCTGGACAACCTGGAGATGAGGACCACACTCAAGTCACTTCTCTACCACCAGTGGGCCACCTGGCACAGAGGTGGTGGCCGAGAAGGAGAGCAAGGGGATGAATGAACGAGTGACTATCACTGGCATTCACAACAGATGTTGCGTTTGCTTCCGTTCCTTTTTTTTTTTTTTAAGATATTTTTTATTTGACAGAGAAAGACACAGTGAGAGAGGGAACACAAGCAGGGGGAGTGGGAGAAGGAGAAGCAGGCTTCCCGAGGAGCAGGGATCCCGATGCGGGGCTCGATCCCAGGACCCTGGGATCATGACCTGAGCTGAAGGCAGACGCTTAATGACTGAGCCACCCAGGTGCCCCGCATTTGTTTCTGTTCTTACAGAAACAGAGACAATCACAAATGAGCCCAAGGAAAATTAAGATCACCTGAGTCCCAATCTATAGATACAGTTGCATACATTTTCAGAAAGTACACCAAATGGGGTGTCTGGGTGGCACAGTCAATTAAGCGTCCGACTCTTACTTTCATCTCAGGCCGTGTTCTCAGGGTCCTGAGATCGAGCCCCATCTCAGGCTTCACCCTCAGCATGGGGTCTGCTTAAGACTCTCTTCCACTCGCTCTACCCCCCTCTTCCCTATGTTCTGTGTCTCTCAAATAAATAAATAAATCTTTTTTTTTTTAAGTATGCCAAATGGGATTGCAATGCATATTATGCTTTGCAAGTTCTTTTTTAACTCCTTCACTATAACACACAACTTCCTGTGAGTTACTGTTCTGTGCAGCATCTGAAACCGAAGTAGGGCCGTGACAAAATGTTTTCTAACCACATCCCTACAGGGGGATGCTCAGGTTGTTTCTAGTATTTTGCGATGATTTAGAATGCTGGTTGGACAGCCTCGTAGCTAAGGGGCATGTCCTTATTAGCAAGAGCCCTTTAACTGTGGGCAGAGCAACAGGGAGCCCAGAAGGACCTCAGCTTCCAAGAGATCAGCTCCTATGGCCTCCTCCTGGGTGAGCCCCTCCAGGCACCCCCCCACCCCCGAGTCTCGGCTTCCCTGAGCGTGAAACGGAGGTGCTCATATGCTTCCCACCACTGGCTGGGTGGGCCTGAAGGAGACCATGGTTTATCTCGGGATCTCTTTCCAGATCTCCCTGGAGAAAGGTAACTGCCAGGCCCAGCCACCAGCCAGCAGTCCTCGAGGCTGAAGGACAGAAGAGGAGAAAGGCACGTCAAATGAGACTTGGGACCCAGAGAGGAAAGACAGCAGGGCCAGGTGGGGAAGGGACAGCAGTAGAGGCCAGAGGGGGCTGGTGATGGCTTTCCAGGTCACAGCTTTTCACGGCAGGAGAGGACACGGATGACGAGGTCTCTGGTGGCCCTGAGCCAGGGACTGCGTGATGTTCCCTCCACCCCAGGACTCGGGGATGGGGAGGCCCAGTCACTTGGGCTTCCCCAATTCCTGCTGCAACCCCACTGAGTGCTGGTGTTCCCATATCAATCCCAGCGTTGGGTCCCCTATCAGCAAAATAGTTGGGACCAGATTTGAGCTTTATTCTGTGGTAAATGGGATGGTTAGGGGGCGCCTGGGTGGCTCAGTCAGTTAAGTGTCTGCCTTCAGCTCAGGTCATGATCTCGGGGTCCTGGGATCAAGCCCCACATCCGGCTCCCTGCTCCGTGGGGAGCCTGCTTCTCCCTCCCCCTCTGCCGCTCCCCCTGCTTGTGTACTCTCTCTCTCTCTCTCTCTCTCTCTCAAAGAAACAAATAAAATCTTTAAAATATTTTTAAAATAAATAAATGAGACGGTTAGGAACAAATAAATGGCAGACAATCAAATCTGTCTTTCGGAAGAGGAAAATCGTTCTGAATTGTTCTAAGGTGGATCCTGTCGTCCTGCGCTTTCTGGTCAACAGAAATAACATTAACTATTTTTTTTCCCTCAAAAAGGAGTGACCATTGTTCTGCCCTCCCTGTCCCACCGGGCCTGGACAGCCTGGGGACGAGGACCACACTCAGGTCGCTTCTCTACCACCAGTGGGCCACCTGGCACAGAGGTGGTGGCCGGGAAGGAGAGCAAGGGGATGAATGAACGAGGGAATGTCGCCCGCAGGATTTGGAGAGGCATCTGTCAGCTGCACTGAGTCAGACAGGAGGACGTGCTGCAGGGGGGATGTTGCCCCGGTCTGGTCATCAGAGATTCGGGGTATTCAGGGGAGCTGACTCGGTTCCCTCCTCTGCCGCCGAGGTATTGTTGGCCTCGGACAAGTTACCCATCCTCTCTGCTGTTCAGCTTCCCTGTGGGTAAAATGGGTTAACAAGGGGTGGCTAGACTCATGGAAATG